TTCAAAGATGGTGGTAAAAGTCTATTTTTTAAGCTGAATGGTAGGTATATGGGAGTTTAATTTTTCAGATTGTTTTATTGTTATTTTACCATCTGTATCCCTCCACATGTATTACATACTCTTACAGATGTATGAATTAAACAATCTTAAGTGAAAAATAAATAAGACTGAGCTGGGAATGTCTAGGACAGAATTCAAAAGAAGGAGTTGAACTAGCCCAATATCTTGGAAAAGATACTGGATGTAGAAAGAAAAAGAAACAGCAGGTTCGTGAGGAAAAAAAAAAAAAATGCATGAAGGAGAGAAGACCCATAGAATTGAATGTCTGTAATATAAACCAATTTTCAAGGTCAGGTTAGCCGTTTGCTGAAAAAATGATCCTGGGTTTACCCTTATACCCTCATCTGTCATTTAATCATCCAGACATGGAATATCTATTCATCCAAAGAATACAATGTATACTCTGGCCTCACACACTTACTCTAGTTTCAGGATTTGAAATCACACTACCATACAGGATATGGGTAGTGCAGCATCCAGCATGGCCCTCCTTCCACCTGCCCTTCCACGCATTTCTCAAAGGGAAAACCAGGTTTACGAGCCATGGCGCTGCTCTGTGGTAGGAGTGGAAGCTCTGCTCTCTCCCTGAGTTACAGGTTGTGCCTTCAATACCTTCTGCTTTGGAGGTGGCTTTGGTTCCAGCAAGCTAAAAGGGGCCAGAGGTGGGCCCAGGAGAAAGAAAGCAGGTACCATGGGAGGGGTTAGAGAGAGAAATAAAAGGACATTTCCTCCAGGTTTTATTCATTTGAGCTCACCAAGATTGGAGGACAAACATGGATTCGGGCATAAAGAGGGGGCATTTGGTTCAAAAATCAAGTGATGGAATCACTGATAGCTGGTTAAAGTGGGGACACAACCAGCTGCAGAGTTCAAGGAACCCCCGTAGAGGAAGAAATCAAATTCATAGGTGGGCAGATGCACAACCCGGAAGGAAGACCTTCTAGGTCCAGTGAGCCAGGATCAGTTGGTCAGGCTACCTCATCATGTAAAAACTGTATCTAATCTTTTAATGTGTGTTTACATGCTTTGACTAAATTTGTATTAACTTGGTGTTATTTCTCGTAGTAGCAATACAATTTAAAGGATGCAGATTTGTATAAAGGCAGAGAGAATGGTTCACCGCTTTCCTTCCTAATGTAATCAATGTGATTATGTTGAAATGTGGCCTCCATAGATTTTCAATGCCTATAAAGCCTGGTATGTAACAGATACTTTTGTATTCCTGGTGCTTGAGAGTATGGACTCCAGCACTGGGTTTCCTGGATTTGAGTCCTAGATCCACCACCACTTACCACCTGTGTGATTTTGAGCAAATAACTAATTCTCTGGGCATTATGATTTTGGAGTTTTTGTTTTGCCCATTCATAAAATGGGGATAGTGATAGTAAATACCTCATAGGTTTATTGTCAGCATTAAATAAGTTACAGAAATCACGTGTAGTAATGCCAGGAACCTGGTAAGCATTGTGTTGTTACTACTACTAATAATAATTATACTACTGCTACTAATTACTACTACTACTGTTATTATCTTTGCCCATACAAAAATGACTTCATGTTCCGCATATCATAGTGACTTGAAATTTTCACTTAAAATGTATCTAGGACATTCTTCTAGGTGGATGTAAAATTTATTCAACTCATCCTTGAACTAGCTCAGAAAACAAGTAGTGAGACAGATATGTGAGGTCTCTGTTGTGGTTGTACTTGTGCCAGCACTAGAGGCAGCAGAGGCTGAGGGAGAAGGGTTCTAATGGGCAACTCTTTAGGGGGTGTGTATGGGTAGATGACAGGGGGCAGTGCTACAGGGTCTTATGCTGGGTACAATGGGGTATCTGGGGGCTATGTGAAAGCTGGATAGGTGTGGGTTTGGGTTAGAGATGCTGCACCCACAAGAATCAAAAATGGTTCTAGGAAACATTCTTTGTCATTAGTCTATCTATCTGTACTTCCAGGTTTTCATTTATCTCCATTTGTAATTTGGTGTAGCAGTAAGCATCCCTGTACATATATCTTTGACACTGTCCTTATTTCTGTAAGAAGGGTTATTAGAAGAATGGTTGTTAGGTCTAAATATAGGCACACCTTTGAAGCCAAGTAGGCACCCTAAAATTGTTTCTGAAAAAGAGTGCAGACATTCTCCATCATTCCTGCAGACTGTGATGGTCTTTCAGTATTGAACATTATTAGCCTTTCAAATATTAAACGTTATTAGCCACCTTTGTCATCTTCATCTTCATTTTCTTCCCCTTCTCCTCCTCCACTTTCTCCTAGAAAGGAGTATTGTCTTTTTTGACAATATTATGAGCAACACACAATATATTTTCCATTACTTGACTGCTAGTGAGATTGAGCATCTTTTCCACAGAAGTGGCCGTTTAAATTTTCTTTTCTGTGCCATATCTGCTCTTGGAAGGATGGTATTTCTACAGATAGAAAGATTTGGGAGAGGGAACGGAATGGAAAGAGAATGGGAAGATAATCTAAAATGAAAGCAGGGCATGTCCAGGGGCACCTGGCAGACTGGATGCTGCGGGGAGACAGGCAGCAGGAGAAGAGGCAGGAAAAGCCAGGGGGTGGCCAGCTCTGCAGGCAGTCCACACTGGAAGGCAGTAGATTGTCCCTAGAGACTAAGATGGAGCTTTGAGAGTAAATAACATGGTTAGAGTGGTCTTAGAAAAGTAAAGGGTGGGAACAGGTCCTGGTAACTTTGAAATTGGGTCAGTTGAGTCCAGGCATGAATTACTAAGGACCTAAACTAGGTTAATGGCAGTGTGATTGGAAACCATGAACAAGGGCATTGATAAGACTTGTGACCAGCTGGATATGGGAGCAGCAGGGAGAAGGGACATACGGTGACACTGTGCGCTTTGCTGTCCTGATTATTTATGGGCACCAGGAGGAGCAGGGAAGAGACAAGCTTCTTGCTTACCAAATGTTCATGTCAGTATCTTCTTAATAGTTCCCTGAGATAGGTAGATTATTAATGCTTCTGTTTAACTACTAGAAACATTGAGCTTATGTAATTTGCCTTAAAAGAGCTCCCTTAGGGGGAAATTAATAAATTTAAGACTTTTTTAGTTTAGACACTGGCATAAATGGCCATTGGGGTCTTGAACTTGTTACCTCAAGACTGGGGCTATTTTATCCTGGCTTGTGGAAGGCACATAGAGATACATGAGAAATGAATGTGTTAGTTGTTAGCATTAGTGTTAGTATTAATATTGGTAACAAAATATGAAAACTATTAAATCAGAATCAATACATGCTCAATTCAGTGCTTATAAAACCTATGTTAGGTTAAATTCTTTTTCCACTTTGCAAGAATTCTCTATTACTCACATACTTAAATGGTTTATTCTTAACCAAATAATTATAAGCATATATGAGTATGCATATATAAATAATTGAATACTTATGAAAAGGCATTTAACTTATGTTATTTCCTTTAATCCTCAGGACAAGCTTATATGGCAGATATTATAATTCCTATTTAATTAACAAGGAAACTAAATCTGAGATGTGCTGTCTAAGTCTCACAATTGTTAAGCAGCAGAGCTGAAATTCAAACTCAGACTGCCATAAGTCCAGAGCCCAAGTTTATAATCATGTTGCATATTAGGTTGAGAGTGAGCATGTTATCTGACAAGGGAAATAGACAAGTGGTAAGGGCCAAAGATTAAAATGTAAGGACTATCTGCATATTCCAAGAGGAAGTCAGAAAAGGACAGAAAGTAAGTGGTTCTAGAGGTTGGATACAAAGAGGTTACCTTGGGCCATACTGACAGAGGTGGTTCAGCCTCATGGACTGGGAGAGCAATGATGTCCTGTGCTGCTGAGTGGTCACTGAAGATGAGACACCCTGCATGACCTGACCATGAAAACACATCTATCCTTGGAGGAAGTATTTCAGTACAGTGCTTGTAGCAGAGGTCAGACCATAGAGCATCATTAGTGGGGATCTCATTGTGAAGAAGCAGAGGATATTTGTGAGTTCACCTCCACACTGTTGTCAGCTGCATCCCAGGTGCAATTAGGATTCTGCAATAATTTCATATCTTGTTACCTTCTGCTCCTGGTGGTAGGAGACTTGCATTTAAACCACAGAGGACTTCCACTTTCCTCTTACCTAGCCTGTGGCTTTGACCAAAGAACCTTCTCTGAAAGCCCAGGCATTTCACATGGAAGTTCTGAGTAATCTGATTAGTGTGGGAGCCAAGAGGGATGGAATGGGCTGGAAGCACAACATGCCGCTCCACTCTGTGAATTCCCAGCAGCTGCTGTAGCAAATGACCACAAATGGGGTGGCTTAAAATAACAGGAAGACATCATTTCACAGTTCTGAAGGCTTAGAAGTTTGAAATCCAGGTGTCAGCAGTGTGGAGATTCTGAGGCAGAATCTGTTCCCTGCCTCTCTCTTAGCTCCTGGTGTTTGCCGGCAATTCTTGGTCTTCCTTGGCTTGTAGACTCATCACTCCAATCTCTGCCCCCATTTTCTGATAGCATTCTCCCCTGTGTTTCCAAATGTCCTTTTACGAGGATATCAGTCATTGGACTACGACCCATTTGAATCACATATGACCTCATCTTGGCTTCATTACATCTATGAAAACCTCTTTCCAAATAAGTCCTATGGGTTAGGATTTCAAATGTCTCTTTGGGGGACACAATTCCATGCTCATTCCTTCCTTCTGTTTGTTTCCGTCTGTGATGGAAAAGTATCAAGCTCTCTAAGTTTGACCACAGAGTTTAAGAGGAGAGGGCCCAGTGGGGTCTCCTGGACTTCAGTCACTAACACCGAGTGCTTGAATCATTTCCCAGTGTCAACCTCACCTGTGTAGTGGGAAGAATCGCCCAGCTACTGGAAGAGTGAACTGCTCTATTTGTTTCTTTGTTTATCCATTGTTCGCCAAGCTGAGCCTTTGCTTTCTTCTCTGCAGAAACCAACAGAGCCATGGCGACTCCTTCTGCTGCCTTCGAGGCCCTTATGAATGGCGTGACAAGCTGGGATGTACCCGAAGATGCCGTTCCATGTGAACTGCTTCTTATTGGAGAGGCTTCATTTCCTGTGATGGTGAATGACATGGGCCAGGTCCTCATTGCTGCCTCCTCCTATGGCCGCGGGCGCCTGGTGGTCATGTCCCATGAGGACTACTTGGTGGAAGCCCAGCTCACGCCCTTTCTCCTGAACGCAGTAGGGTGGCTTTGCTCTTCCCCTGGAGCTCCCATTGGTGTACACCCATCCCTGGCACCTTTGGCCAAAATCCTCGAGGGCTCTGGAATGGATGCAAAGGTTGAGCCAGAAGTGAAAGACTCCCTGGGGGTTTACTGTATTGATGCCTACAATGAAACCATGACGGAAAAGCTGGTCAAGTTCATGAAACGTGGTGGCGGCTTGCTCATAGGAGGACAAGCCTGGGACTGGGCCAACCAGGGTGATGATGAAAGGGTTCTCTTCACATTCCCTGGGAACCTCGTGACCAGTGTGGCTGGCATTTACTTTACTGACAACAAAGGGGACACGAGTTTCTTTAAAGTTTCCAAGAAGATGCCCAAGATCCCAGTGTTGGTTAGGTGAGTACCTTACCCCCACTCGGGAGTTGGCTCCAGGGTTAAAAAGCAGACCCAGTTCTTAGCTTCAGGTTGCTCCAAGGCTAACGGAAGAGTGCTCCCCCACACTGTTATGGAATCACTACATATCAACTAGATTTTTTAAATGCCCTGAGGCACGGGAGAGGCAAGGTCCTCACTGCCCCTGTCTTCCCAGACCAGACCATTTAGCTCTTTGATAGTTGGAACTTACTGATGGCTATGGTCCCAGTGTCTTGCGTAATCGAAACTGTGCTGCTGACCCCAACAGTTGGCGTAGTTAATCCAGATGGTTTATAGGAGAGGTTGCTTTCAATAGGAATGTGAAGAAAAGGAAAACAGGCATGAAGGACCCCATGAACCAAAGCCTAGAGAGGTGTGGGAAAGGTTTTGAAATGTCCATCCAGGTGAGGTTAGGATGCGATAGGAAGTAGAAGCCTTCACAAGTTAAGATATCAGAAAAGATGGTCCATGTTATATGTGCTAAATCTAGGATTTAGGAGGGGCAAAAGATTGATGATCAGTAATGAAGGAGTCAGGTGATGGGTACGGGACAGCCTGCACGGGAAGTTATTGGAGTGTACTGCCCTGTCTGCTTTGCTTTCACTGCACTCCAGCACCACATATAGTGCCTAACAGATAGCAGGTCAGTAGGTGCTCAGTAAAAATCTCTTACATGCATGACTGCATGAATGAATGAGAGGGATTAGAAGCTGGATTAGTCCCAGGAGCAGAAAAAGTATGTTAGGTCACTCTCCATATTCTATATTAACATTCTCAGCATCCTCAGAACAAACAACACTGATATTTCTGACTGATGGGAATGGAGCAAGGTAGGACTGGGTGAGGAAGACACACCAAGGGTACCACGAAGGTGTGGGAAATGAGCTATGACTTCTCCTTGGCATGGGACTTTTAGGGAAGTTTTAGGAAGATCAACCAGAATAGTTAGTCTACTCTGGTTTTGGACAAAAAGATGACTCGTATCATTTTAGCCCAAATATTGGGCTTCTGCAAAGGAGTTCAAACTCTGTTCATTCATCCGTTTATTTAGCCAGAGTTTATTGAATAGATTATATATCCCAGGCATTATTTCTTATTTCAAGAACCTGATTTGCAAAGATCTGAGAATTAGGGGCGCAGGAACATCTCCAATTATAAGACTTGGAAACAAAAGTTGAAAACGAAGTAACTGTTGTAGGAAGAGGGCTATGCTGTCATTGTTCATAAAACCTGGAAACCTGGATCTAATCTACAACCAGTAATTGCACAGTGTGGCCTTAGCATGTCCTTTCAATTCTCTTTTTCTCTCTAAAGGAAAGTGTTGACATAGAAACTCCTACTGTCACTTGTAGCTATTATTCCAGTTTTCAGTCTACAGTGATCTCTGTATGTTCACAAAGTTATCAGAGATGCATAGAAAAGAACGCTGTGCAAATGGTCATACTCTAAATGCCCAAATGCTCTAATAAATTTGGTTTGAAAATACCCCCACGAAACCTGAATTGACCAACCTTATAAATTAATGCTATGTATGCCCCCTTCAGTGTGAAAAATGGTGAAGGGACATTAGACACAAAAGAGACTTGGTTGTAAGTTTATTTATAATAAGCATCTTGCACAGCCTTGGAGGTCACTGCTGGTTATTGCTGGTTATATGTTAGGCATATATAGAATCCTAATTAGAGGTTTTAGGTCAGAATCAACGCTCAAGCGTGGTGAGGTGAATGTTTTTACCTAACTCATGCTTTGTACTTCTTACTATTTTCTTAGCCATATATACTAAAGTTGTTTTAACTGATTTTCACACAAAAGAACTTTTTAGAGAGTGAGCACAAGTGCCAAAATATGCTATTTTATAAGAGAGATTGCCTCATCACAATTGTTTTCTTTTCCTTTTAATGAACATTTTTTCCTTTTTAATTTTAAAATACGTGCTTCTTGGGAAAAAAGTAAAATAATTCAGAAGCATACAAAGTAAAAAGTGAAAGATCTTTGTTCTCCACCTCATCCTCTGCCTCTCACTAATTCTTTTCTTTGCCCCTTCCCAAGAAATGATCACTGCTAATGGTTTGGACAGTATCTTTTCTGATGTTTTTCCTCCATTTATGTATTGGGGTTAGAGTTGGGAGAGCTGGACTGGTAGAAAGAGAGACAGAGAAAAAGAGAGAGATCTGCAACTTGCTCTTTCATTTACTATATCCTGAGCATTTTTTCATATCCCTATAAGAAGATGGGCATCATCCTTTTGAAGACCATCTTGCATTCATTTGGATTGTCCTGAAATTCATTTAACCATTTGCCTATTAGCACATTAATGTTATTTCTAGTTTTTTCTTATAAATGAAAATACATTGACTATCTTTTCACTACAATCCCTAAGCTTGACGTACCCCTTTTCATTTTAAAGACTTGGCAATTTCCTTTTAGAAACATCTAATTTTGGAAATTTTTAAATACATAACAGAAATAGAAATAGAACAATGAGCACATGTACTCATCACCCAGGGAATGGTATCAAATCACACGCCACCCACTCCTTCACCTTTCCCGTTTGTTTTGAAGCCAGTCTCCAACAGTGTATCGTTTTACCCATAAAACAGTATATCTCCAAAAGATAAAGACAAATTTTTAAATATAGTCACAATACTGTTAGCCCATTTTTAAAATTATCACTATTTTTCTGTCCTAACAAAATGTCAATAACCATATCACTTTCAAAAGGATTCCATAAGTGTCATCTGTTATGTACGTATGTCTGTACTTACTCTTTAAATCAACTGATTATATAATCAGTTAAGTCATGGAAATATAAATAATATATTTATATTATATATTGATCTAAAGGGTAAGTATAGAGGTATGTATATCACAATTGTTTCATACTCTCAATGTCATTTTAGAATTGAATTTGGCTTTTGCTTTATATATTTCAAAGCTATATTTTACGTTTATAAAAACTCATGACTTTTTTATGGCTCATACATTTTTGTCATCTAAAATATTATTTTTGCATTTAGTATTTTTCACCTTAAACTCTATTTTGTCTAACATAATTATGACTCCTACTTTGTTTTATTTGTTGATCTTTTTATTCTTTCTTCTGTTTTTAAAGATATATCTCTTAGTATAAATCTGATTTTTTAACCCAATTAAGAGTTAAAAATGTATATAATTAAGGACATTGATGTTTTTATATAATTAAGGACATTGATGTTTTTCTTCTAGTTCCATCATCTTATTTGATGTTCTTTGTTAAACATCTTTGTTGCTTCTTTTTAAATTTTCCTTTGATGCCTTTAGCTTGATTGGAGTTTCTTTTCTCCTTCTCTCTGTTTGAAAATTATATACAATTTTTGTATCATTATTGTAGCTACCTTTAGTTTTTCCCAGCTCTTTCTTTCAAATTTTTCACACTTAAGGAAAAGTCAGAATAACATAATAATCACCACACCCTTTACCTAGATTCTCCAGTGGTTACATTTTGTCACATATACTGCATAAGTATACATAGGAAGAGATTATTTGGCCTAGCCATTTGAGAGTAACCTACAGATCTCAAGAATGAAGGAGGCAGGTGATTAGGTATGACACATCCTACCTGACTACTTCAGCCTGTAGCTCCTAACAAGGACATTCTCCCATATAACCACAATACAGTTATCTCGCTCAAAACATGCAACATTGATAGAATGCTATTATCTAATGTCCATGTTCAAATGTCTCTGATTGTTCCAAAAATATCCCTTTTTTTAGATTTTTAAAAATATAGGATTTAATCAAGTTTCTGTATCATGTTTCTTTAGTCTCCTTTAATCAAAATAGTTCCCTAGCTTTTTAAAAATCTTCCAGGACGTTGGTATTTTTGAAGTCTGCAGTTCAGTTGTTTTATGGAATGCCCTTCAGTTTGGCTTTGCCTAATTGTTTTTTTTTTTTTTCCATGATTACACTCAGTTCACACATTTTTGGCAAGAAAATAATTTGTGTTGCTTTCATCACAGTGTCACAAATTAAAGGCACATGAGCTCAGTTTGTCCAATTATTGGTGATGTTCAAATTGGTCATTTAATTAAATTGGAGTTTGCCAGATTTTCCTGTTTTACTGATTTTATTATATTTTATTTCTATTTGTTCCTTTCCCCCCTTTTTTTAAAAACTAATTTAGTGCGTGGTGTGACAATTTGAGATCTGTATGAATATCCTGTTTGCCAACAACCTTTCACCCAGTGGTTTTAGCTTTTATTGGTGATCTGTACCTGAGTAAATATTTATGAAAGTGGCTACTTCTACCACTTCTGCCACTTCTGAACCTTTCTTCAAAATTCATCTCAGGTATCACATCTTTAGAAAGCTGTCCCTTACTCCTCTCCTCTCATTCTGATATAGATGAGTCTTTTGTGCTCCTATATTAACCTAACATCTTAGCACTTACCTCAGGCTACGTGTTGGTTTACTTGTAAATTTCTCCAAGAACTGATTGACATCCTTTGGTAAATAAGACCTTTGCCTCCCCACCTTCACATTTACTGTTAGGTTTGTTCTTTTTAAATGTTTGTTTTAGTATCACTCTATACTCATGGATCCTTTTCTTTTAAGATCGAATACATTACAATCCATTTATAGTCAGTATTTTTTAAAGGTCAAGTTGTCTCAAATTTGGCAAGTTAAAGCCTCATTAAGCTGTCTCCTGAGCCCATCAGGGTTTTTTTAGTATTTACTTAATTTCTGACATAAAACGATGTTGCAAGTTTATGTTGTACTTTTCTGGTTCAAAACCTGGATTCAGCCATTTCCTCAAGGAATGCTAGTTCCTTTTAGTGGTGAATGGTCTTTAGAAACCAAGATCTAAAGCATGCTCACTGCTATGATGTCATCATTTCTGGGTTCCTCAGAAGAGACAGCCATGATATCTTTTAATCATACATTCATACTGATACCCCCAATTTTAATTCAAAACCACAGGATTCTTCTTCTCTTTCACTCAT